TATTCCACTTTCAAGAATCCATAATCTAGAAGAGCATGCATAGGTATAGCGGCCAATGATAAGCAGAAACTTGTATTTAACCTCTCGTCCTGCTTCTACGTGATATATCACCGAGTACAGGAAGCTTATCCTTTTTTAAGTTTCCTTCTTTATAAAACTGAAATCATACTGAGTATTTCTTGGTGTCATTTGTAAGAATTAAGTGAGATAATATATAATAGGAGCTTAGCATGGTGTCGGATTCATCAAATAAAAATAACATTGTTTTCCCCCTTACCTTGCCCATCACAATCTGGTTCACAGCCAAAGGTAATAAACCCATATCAGGTGGCTAGGCAGATGAGCGAAGATCACAGCATTTATACTCTGGTTAATTCCACAGATTTGGTTTATTTTTCTTCTTTCCTGATATTCAGTGAGGTCATTTAGAGAATGAGTAGTCAATTATTTCCATTATAATTGGTCCTACTTAGTCATCCTAAAGCTAAAGCTCATAGGCACAATTGGAGTTACAGAAATCACGAGGAAAAGAAAGGACTGTGGATTGTCAAGGCACCATCATAAGACCCAGGTGCACACCCCAGTTCCACTTCTAACTATTTGTGTGATACTGGGCAAGTTAGTTCTTTAATCCTCAGGTTTCACATCTCTTAAATAGGTGTAACTGAGACAGCCAAATGCCTAAATAGATAAAAGGTACCCGGAGAATCTCCGACCTGCCCCACCAGTGTTTACATCAGATGCTTTTGTGCAGATGAGGAAAGTGCCCAGGGCTGTGTCTGAGTATGCCTATATGTGCACTGGGGGAAGAGGGCAGAGCCACGGGCAGGGGGAGGAGCCTGGCCTCTTCACTTCCCGTGTCGTGACCCCGGAGATTCAATCTGTGAGGCGGGGAAACTTTACCTGGGGATTTGAGAAATGGTCCATTGGCCATTCTCGGTTCTAAAGAAATTTCACAAACTATAGACATACACAATGGCCCACAATTGGGTAAGAAAATTATATTTATTAATGGGCCGATGTTGAATGCAATGGGAGGAATATCCAAAAATATTTACTTTGGCATGAATTTCCTGAAAATATAGTGAAACTATGCAATGGTTTGCTTTGCTTTTTTTTTTTTCTTCTTCCTCTCTCTGTTTTGCTTTGCTTTTTTTTTTCTTCTTCCTCTCTCTGTTTGCTCAATAAAATCCTCTCCTACTCACCTTTCAACATGTCCTCGTGCCTAAATTTTCCTGGTTATGTGACAAGAACCCAGCTTTAGCTGAACTGAGGAGCAAACTCCTGCAACATGATGACTCCACATAGAGGTGTTAGAGAATGAAATCAGTATATGTAGCACAGTTCCTGACATATACTAAGCACTCACTAGTAACAACACCCATAGCAGAAGCGGGAAAAAAATTAGACTAAATGATATTAATTAGACTATTTAGCATATAACTGTCAAATAAAAAAAACAGAATTCTGCACACAGTCAGCCACTTAGGTGAATCTCTACTAAAATAAGTTTTAGGTTTTTAATTTGCTTTTAAGATGTGAAATTGATGGTGGCTTGCCTTTTATTAACTAGTAACACTACTAGCTACCACATATTTTATTTAATATGGTCACTTAATCATCTCATTAACACTGCAAGAAAGTTGATATTATCCCATACGGAGGAGAAAACTGAATTTCAGAGAATTCCAGGGACTAGTTCTCCGACTGGGAAGCAATAGTGATATGATTTCAACCTTAGTCTCACTAAGTTCAAAATATGTCATCTTTTCAATAATTTACACACCTTTATTTTACATTACTGAAAGACACGGTATTGCAGAAAGTAGCAAGGAACTAATTAATGTTCCTACAAATGAGAGGGTAAGATGATGGATTTTTCTCTATGTCACTGTTCATTTTCCCCTCGAAAGGAATATACAGACATAAACATACAGATAGAGATATAGTATTAGGTATAATAATTCAAAAATACATGTTATTTCTAGCTTGACAACGTGCTCTAAAAAGAAATTGAACTGCATGAGAAGCTGACCAACCAACAAATAACTGCATTTTTTAGCATGGCAGATGCTGGGATAAATGCCTACTTCTTGCTGGATAGCAAATTAAGCATTATCCTAAAAGATGGATACATTCTTGTCAGTGTATACAATAGAACAGTCCTAAAGAGAAAATAATGCATAGCTGTGTGTTACGCAGTAATTCCCTGAATATCCATGTCCTCTGGTTCTGTCTAAAAAGGTTAAATGGCTCCAAATCTGTCCGCTAGACTCATAAGGAGCTACGCATTGCTCTGGCTAAGTCAGGAAATTTAATTTTCTTCTGAAATTAACCAATTGTGCATAGAGAGAGGGAAGCTGCTCTCCAGATCCAACTGGGGTGGAGGTGGGGGCAGAGAACTGTAGAAATGCAGAACAGATGTTGAAAAATATGGTTTGTGATTCTTGAGTTCTCATCCCATGGAGCCAAGCCAGGTTTAATCAAAAATGTGTGGACTCCCCCTTCTGAATGACACATCAAAGGCTGCTGTAAATGCTTTGAAACAGCATTCGTCCCTTCTTTGGGTAGAACCAGAGATGCGGAGGAACTAGCATTTGCCTGACATCTATCAGAAGCACAGATAGGCCTGTGTCACCAAATAGTGCTTTATCTGTCCATCTCTTCCTGGTAAAAACACTCTCAAATCTCCTTTAGCTTGTCTGAAAATGAAATGCTTCTAAGCTGGACAGTTATTTCTAAACAGCCTCAAGCTTCCTCTACACAAACTTTCCTACCAGTAACAGTAATAAAAGTAGCAATAGCAATAATAATAACTGGCAGCTACAATGAGAATCTTCGCTTGATTCCCTGTGAACTGGAATTAGTATCAGTAAATCTCCATTTTTACATCAGTAAAATGAATAGATTATAAAATGTGCAGCCATATGTGGACAACTACGCACCTGGATTTATAGCTAGCTCTGCCAATAAGATGCTACTTTTATTATGGCATGAAAAGTTCCTCAAGCCTCATCTCTAGATGATTGAGATCATGTCTCTGCACAGCCAGTCCACTCCCACTGGTACCATGTATTCCATGTTGGGAGCTTATATTATTGTGCTGATATTTGAACCCTTATTTTCCCTAAGGATCCTTGGCTTGGCAGACTCTGGAGGCCTTACATGCTCCTGGCTGACAAGAGTAGAAACCTTGTCAAATCAAGCACTAAAACTGGTTCTCTGATCAGTCTCTAAGTGGAACCGATCTCACTCACTTCCTTCACGTTCTGTCTTCTGCTTGGAGATGTAAAGGATGTGGCAACGACTCCTTTTTGAGTTCCTTTCAGAGGTAAAAATTGAGAAACATAAAAACAGGGCAGATTCATCCACTCCACAAATATCGTTGCCCCCATTCATGTCAGCATTCCAGCATAAAGCCATTGCATAATTTCACGATAGTTTCAGGAAATTCATGCCAAAGTCAATATTTTTGGATATTCCTCCCATTGCATTCAACACTGGCCCATTAATAGATATAATTTTCTTAGCCAAATATGGGCCGTTGTGTATGTCTATAGTTTGTGAAATTTCTTTAGAACCGAGAATGGCCAATGGACCATTTCTCAAATCCCCAGGTAAAGTTTCATCTTCTTAGAGGTTAGACTCTTCTGCAGGAAAGCTTCTTTGTATCCTTATTGGCTGCAGTCTTATTTGTTGTTCTGAATTTAGAAATGATTTGTACTTAAAAACAAAAAGTGCTGTTCTGGGTCTGTAAATAATTTTTGTACAAACTCAACTTATTTGGGGTGCTGACTGTTCTGCAAGGTTTTAATCTCAGCCTCAGAGTCTCAGCACCCTTGTGAGTAACAGGAATTTAATACTTTTTTAAAAAAAATCGAATAAATAAACCTACAGATAACTCACTTTACCAGGGTTTCCCCAAATGAAGTAATTGGAAGCATATCTGCCCTAGTTATCTGTGACTTATAAATTGAAAGGGTTTGCTATGAGCTGACATCTAACTCAGAAATTAACTGGACAATTCTTTAAAATTGTATTCCTCCATCTACTTCTCACTATCTCCTTGATTTTGCAACAAATATTCGTAAGACAATATTTGAAATTCACATTCAAACACATCATTAGCAAACACTTCACCCTTGGAGACCAGCATAGAAGTTATAGATTTTCAGTGTGCTTTCGGGAGAAAGCTATTTAGCTGGAGAACCTGTACTGTCATTTGGGTGACTGGAAAAAGAGAAAAAGGTGTGTACGGTACAACAGAAAAAAAAATCAAGCTGAGCTTCATTTCTAAAGCAAAGGCAGAAAAGCTTTAATAAAGAATTATTTCTCATCCTGGGGAAAAATTTTGAGCAGAAAAACTATAAACAAAAGGTATTTTTGAAATGCAGAGAAAGATTTTTATCTAGGAGACACCAAACCAGATATGCTGACCTATCAGAAATGTCCAAGAAGTGATAAAAAGATAATTTCAAAGGCAAACACCAAATGCAGAAATAAGATAGGAGCCTCTTAATGCATTGACACAGTGGTCTCACGCCTCTAAATTCTAATATATAATTCACCATAACTGTCAAAAGAGACAGAGGATACACTAGCAATGCTTCCCCAAAGCTAAACAAACAAACAAACAAACAAAAAAACCCACTAACAAACAAAAACATAAAAATAACAAGATCCACCCAAATGTATTGCAAACATTTGCAACTCTGCATTTTCATAGAGCTCTCTGAGAGCTGGAATAGCTGAACTCATCTTGATATTCCTGGCTCTGGGCTCTGTGTAGCACTTAGTAGGTACACATGGGCATGTACACACACCATACACACACACACACCATACACACACACACACACACAGAGTATGGGCTAACCAACATTATTTGGTGATGTGAGCATAGTCCCAAGGGCGGCCACACAGAAAGTACATGCAAAGGCATTTTGCACTGATCTGCTTGTCATTTGCAGTATCCAGTATTCCTTTTAAAAGACAAATACCTTATAGGACTGGAAGTGATATCAGGGTCACGAGCAGTCACTTGCCCAATCACGGAGTTCAGAGCAGCATTTTCATGAACTTCAAGCAGGTAAGTCGGTGAAGAGAAGACCGGAGGCTCATCAGCATCTTCAACGACGATTTTGACTGTCGCCGTGTCTTTAAAGGGTCCCCTGCCACTGAAACGTGGGTCAATATGGACATTGGCTGCCTCTACCTTTAGCGTATAGGATTTTTTGGTCTCAAAGTCCAGAGGCTGTTAAGAAATGACAAAGATAAATGCTTCTCACTAATGACCACAGCAGCAAGAACAAATGAGTATAATGCTGATGGATGAAAGTTATGTGCATTTAAACCCATTTGTGAGCCTTAATGGGATCACTCTCCAGTCCCCCAGATTCAACCTGTAAATTTTACGGGCATTTATTGGTATCTGTTTATTATACAAGCTCAGTGAATATAATAACCTATTGTTTTGTTTTGTTTTGCTCATTTCACTTGGAATTCACAAAATATTCACAGTCATGAATTGTGCCATCAAAATTTCACTTCAGAGTCATAATAAAATTTTACTAGTGACAGCATGACCTGCATACTAATCAGCCACTTAATCGGGCCTCTGCTGGTGGCAGATAAGGCGACATCGAACACAATCTCTATCTGGGAAGAATATTTTATCATCTCTGCAACAGAGTGTGAAATGTAAAGAACTAGAAATAATCATTGTTTAGTCCAAGGAGACATTATAAAGCATAATTTAGCACTAATCCCCACAAAGAGTATTTTCTGATTTCACTTTAAAGCATTGCTACTCTACTGATCATGTGGTTAAAATAAGGTTTATTATTTTTTAGGACATTCTTAGAGGCTCTCTATTATGAATTTATGCTATGAGGCAGGTGGGCATGTAAAGAAATATGTGCACCAATACATATGTATGTACTTGTGTTTATATTTAGAAGAAGAAATTATTCGAGCAGTATAAATAGATAACTGAATCTAACTGTGCCCCCACCAACCACTTATAAGCAATTTGAAATTACCCCATTGCACCATTACTGACAATGTGTCTGACATTAATTCTTCATTCCCTAAAACTCTGAGAGACTTTGGTCAATGACCTAGGTAAGTAAAGCTAGGTAAAAAGAAGCCACCTTCAATAAGCCAGAAGCCCATGTGCATTAGCACCTTTATAGTCCAATTTTTGGTGAATCACAATACTTCAGATTTCAAGAATGCAAGTCTATCGACTTCAAAGTTGTATACTGTATACATTATTCAAAGTTGTATAATGTATACTGTTCAAAGAGACATTATACATCTGCATTACACATTTCTCAAAAGAAATATAACTTTAAATAGGCAATGAAGATTTTTTAAAATAAGCTAGAAGACAAACTGGCACCAGTGAACTCTTTCAGAATTCCAGTACAAGCTTAATTATATATTCTTATTTCAAACTATTGTGTTGGTTTTTACATTCGAATTCTGATCTAATGGGACTTGGCTCCTTTTTTCCCCCCATATTTTCTAGTAAACCAGGCAGGCACTCACTTTCCTATCTATTCTAAAATTACTAGGCACATGCATCCATGAATAGATCCTGCAACATCAGCATATTCACAATTTGCCAATCACCTTTACTGTAACAATTTTGCAATTTCAAATTCTTCGCAAACATTGTTAAGTATAACAAATTATGTTCTGCTTAATTCCAGCTCAACATAATGACGATGAACCCAGACACATTCTGGTGTCCCAAGAATTTTATTGGACAAAAAACAGGGCCTATAAATTGTAGAAATACAACTCCTTTGCACTGTTCTCTAGGGTAAAATACATGTTTTACTTGGTGTCAAGGTGTATAGTATATGCTTCGAAGTTTAGGACTAACAGCAAATAAAAATAAAGCAAATGGCTAATTGTTTCAGTTTATAACTGCACTTTACGGCAAAAAAAATGGGAATAATAACAATAAAAATGACATTAGGAATCATTAGTCAAGGAAAATGTGACTCTGGGTTATTCAATAATTGACTCAAATATTATGCTATACTTTATTTCAAACATGGCTTTTTAAATGTTTTGTAGTTCTTAATGCTAAACTGAAACCAAGATTTTGGTAGAAAGATCGCGTTGCTCAGCAGAGAGTTAAAATAAATGTAGACATCTTTTTCAAAATTGATTTTTAAAAATATTTTTTATAAAAAAGAATATCCAGAAAACTTTAGGTTTCCATTGTTAAGACCTCTTCAGTGGGGGCGATTTTTAGAGCAAGACCATTGGAAATAGGTCTCTGTGTGGCACGATGGAGATTCAGATAGTAACCTTACACTCATATCTACATGATGCTGATGAAGAAAGTGAAAAAAATTATTGACTTCCAATTGTGTGGTCCACCATCTATCTTATTTGAGAACAAGCAAATCCATTTAAAAACTAGTTTGATCTACTTCATGACAAAGGTTTGAAGAACAGTACTGAAGAAAATAATCAGGATGAGGATCAAAGAGTATTTTCCTTGCAAGTGCTTTGTGACTATAAAGTAAGGAACTATGTTCCACACATTTCTTATGAGTGTAGATTTTATGATGAGAAATATAAATGGAAAATGTCGTACAGAATTTTTCTACATCTACCATAAAAGCAAGAGATTGCTAACAAAAGCAGTCTCAAATTTTCCTACATTATTTATGCTTGTTATGGAGATGTTTCTTTCTTCAATGGTAGCTCCCTATCCAGAAGCAAGGGAAAGATGAGCTTCATTTCCCATGATGCTCAAACCTCTGAGCCATAGTTTGGAGTATGCAATGGTAGCAGGTTTGGCCCTGTCCTTCAGGCACTAGAGAAAGCCAGGATAACTGAACCAGGATAACTGAACCTGAATGTTCTGCCTGTTTTTTTGTTTTTGTTTTTGTTTTTGTTTTTACTTTCCATGAAAGCATAGCCTTCAATAAGGACTTGGGAAGTTTCAGTGTATTTGGGGAAGATATTTCAGGAAGCAAGAGTTCAAACATGAGGAGAGTTATATACAGAAAGACTAAAAGCCACTGAACTCGTCACCTCTGTGGGCAACTGAGGCCTGTTTTCACTGAGAATCCTTTTACAACCTTAAACAATGTGACTCAGAATAGTTTCTTCGAACGATAGTAACTGTCCACCAATTTTTCTCCCCCTTTGGTTGAGGGCTGCCTTCACAGGATATTGACTTCCCCACACAGTTGAAGTGCCCTGTCTAAGGACTCAGTAAATTCCTGTGGTTATGGGTAATAGGTAAGTTGGAGGAGCAGCACTATTATGGTAGCCATTTACCAGACCTTTAGCAGAAATGTGAAGGGGGCCCAAGAGATAAGAGGTGCCAAAAGGACTGTACTAGTTATCTTGTCTTATTGCTCAATGCTAAACATCTACCAGCTCTACAATTCTGTCAGGAAGTCCATACAAGTACCTCAACTTTAAAACTCAAGTTTCAAAGAGGTATTTTGAAGATGAACAAAAGTTTCCTTAGCTTACTTTTCTTAGCCTTATAATGCCATCCTGGGCCTGGGCATCAGAAGTGATTTCAAAAAGTGCTGTTCCATCTCCATCAATGATGTCATATGATGACTGTGCATTTTCACCAATATCCTGATCATTGGCCTTCACCCTGCCTATTGCAGTGCCAAGAACCACATCTTCCGGTACTGAGAAGTGATACAGGCCTTTGAAAAGAGGAGAAAAATGAGCGTCACACAAATTCCAACCATTCATTCATTCATATGACAAATATCTTTTGGGCACCTCCTTTGTTCTGGTCATTCCTTTATTTATGCTACCAATAAAGTGACAGAAGAGACAGAAATATCCATTTCCATTGTGGAATGTTCAGTCTTTTAACTGAATCAGAGACAAACAGTTCCCAGAAGAAGGCATGAGCCCTTTTCAAGACTCTTCTGAGATATGAAACTTACTCAACCATATGTTTACCAAGTGTATATTTGGAGCAGCTAAATCAAGACTATTAGGGAATCTATGTGTGCATTTTTTTTCCTTTTTGCTGTATAATCACATTTACTGCCCATGGGGATATTCTTTGTTGCCAACATAAAATATTAAGCTAATTTCAGCACAGAAAGATGCAATGTGTAACACACTGGAAGTCACTTTTGAACGTACCTTTATATTTACAGACTTTTAGACCATTTTTGATAAAATTCAATTACTGAACTTTTGCTGTGCCCTGCAGCAAGCTGTTCAGACACATGAAACACTCCTCTTGTTGCTGAAGTTCTCATTGCTCTAAAGACAAAAATCCTGCCTTCAACACTTCCTAGGCAAAATACAATCAAGTGTATCTTCACTCTCATATTGGGGCAATAAAGTGTGTCTAATTAGTGGCATTAGTCCATTTTTAACTCAAGTCACTTTAGTTGTTATACTGCTGTCACTCACTTTCATTGGTGTAGAGGAAGCTGTTGGTGTCCCAACCATAACCCCTGGCCATTACTACTGTAGTGTACACCTGTCTTACATCTAACTGCCACTCCTGCATTTCTTTGCCTGAGGGTTATTTCTGGCCTTCAGAATCCATTTTGCCCACTGAATGTCAGGCCAGAAATGCCAGAAAATTAATGCTTCCTGCAGAAGCAGCCCTCAAAGACTCACAGGAGTTAGTATATAAAATTCTAGGTCTCTCCATTCTGTGGTAGGATAACTTTGAGTTTTTTCTTTTCTTTTCTTTCTTTACAATGGTCCAGAGTTTCTCCAATGGGATAAAGTTCCAGTAACCCATAGTAGTAGCTGGCTCAATAATGCACCTTTTGTGTGTGTGTGGCTATTTCTCTCTCTCTCTCTCTGTCTCCTTTCTTCATTGGTATTTCTTGGTCCTATCTCCAAGTTAAACTCACAATCAAATTCTTGTCTCAGTGTCTGCTTCTGGGGAATCCAAACTCAAAAAGCCAAAAAGTTTTAGGCCCCTTGCAACCACAACGAGGGAAAATTAAACATTCAATGACCTAAAAACCCAAAAGGAAAAATCAAATCTGGAGAACATTACCTAATTCTCGTTTGAGCTCAAATCCACTGAGTCCCTCGGATAAACTAAGGCTCATTATACTCAACATTAACAGTAAGGTTTCTTCTAGCCCTAACACCCCTTTACTTAACAATGGGATAAAAACATCTCTCTTAGAATCACAAAGTTATAGGACTGGGGATTGAAACATTTTCCATAAGTTTTGCCATAAGGTAGGCACTGAAAATCCTCACTTCAAGCAAAGTCTTCCAGTTTTCTTATAATTGGTGTAATGATTCCATTTTCCACAAACTTTATATTCCAGGTAAGGTTTGAGATGATCTCTTTCGGTATGCTGATTAAATAAATAAGACAGCCAGGGATCATGCCGTGCTGCTAGTCCTACATGGGGAGTCTTGGGAAGCCAAACAAATGGAACATACCTTTATCCATTCCTATTCTGTGCCTGCTCCTCATCTCTATCAGTGTGATCATACTTAATAGTTATTATCTCTAAGAAAAGGCACACGTTTGAAATTGATCTGCCACTATTGGATTGAATAATCATTTTCTTATAAAGAAATATGGCATCTTGCTGTATTCACTGTAATGCAATTGCAAAGGCAAAAAAAGTGAGGGAAAGATGAGAAGAAATGGTGTTCTCCATTTCAATAATTTTGTTTAAAAGGGTTGCATTGTTATCTGATTTATGAATTGCCAGATGTAAAAATTCTAAAATTCTTAATGAAAATGCGTCTCCTCTACTCTTTCTAGCTTGGAATGTCTTCAGATAAATCATCAAAGATACTTCAAATGTGTCATTTGCAAGCTCCACACACATTTCTCTCTCTCTCACTCTCCCCTCTCTCTCCCCACACCCACCTTCCCTCCTTCATCTCTTTAAAAACCAGATTTCCTATGGTATTTTCTATACCAACAAATAGAACCAGCATGCATCTAATCTCTCATGTTAGAAATATGATCATCCATCTTCCTCAACTGAAAATGCAATCTATCCTTAGACTTTTGTCCTCTCTGACTCAACTGTGCATCACACCCACACACTTTTCTCTGCATCCAACACAACCACCCTTGCTTGCCAGGGCTACCATCACCTTTTATGTGAATGATTGCAAATAACTCTTTAACTGGCTGCAAAGAAGAGAAAACAATGAAGGAAGGCCAGATTTAATTTCTTTCCAATTTCCCTGGAACCAGAGCCTATCACTCAAGCTGCAATTTAAAATCTTTAAATGGTCTCCTAATGATCTTAGGATAAAGGTTCTCATACTTCAAATGGCCTTCAAATCCAAGTATGGCTAATTTCTGTCTAATCTAACTCTCCAGACTCTTGCTGTAGCACTTTCCCCGGCACCCTCTGCTCCAGCTGCAGTGAAATTATTTCCATTCCCATACACGGCTGTATACCATCCTTCCACAGGGCTTCTTTTGTTTTATTATTGACTATATTTAAGGTATACACTATGATGTTTCGATAAAAGAAACCGCTGCCTTGGAAAGATGTCTGCACTTTCATTTTCATTCCAGGATTCTTCAGAATAGCAAAGAAATGGACATTACCCAAGTATCTACTGACAGATGAATGGCTAAAGAAGTTGTGGCGTGTATTTATACAATGAAACATCATTCAGCCTTTAAAAAGGAGATCCTGTCATTTGCAACAACGTGGATGAACCTAGAGATATTATGTTAAGCGAAATAAGTCAGATCAAAGGGAAAAAAAGTCCTGCCTGATCTTACTTATATGTGGAATCTTAAAAAAAAAATAAAAATAATAGTAATAATAAGTATGTAGACACAGGGCTTTTGAACATCCTTTTTAGCTGCACTATTCACCCTCCCTCCCATGGCTTCACCCTGTTCCAACTCATGGTATTCACTTTTTCATATCTCAATTCAAGAGTCCCCAGATCAGAAAGGCCTTATCAAATCATGTCTCTGTCATATTACTTGAATAAATGCTCAGAAGAAAGTGTTCGATGAGAGTACAATAAAGTTGCCAAATAATTATTGTCTCCCTGATTCTTTCATGTTGGCTGCCTAGAATGTATGCTGCTGAAATTTCCAAGGGAGAGCATGGCTTTAGCAGGGAAGAGTGGAGTCTTACTGATGTCCTCCCAGTTGCAGGAAGAAGGAGTGTACGTTTTGCAGCAAGCCTACTGCATATTTGTTTTCCCTACCTTGGGCACGAGATATTTGATTTCCTTCATAAAACAATGGGGCTAATAACAGAGCAATATCTGAGCTTCATTTTCATCATCCTCTCAAGCTTTCATAAAGAGAGATAGTGTGCAAAAGAGAAAGGAGTGCACAGCTTGCAGTCAGACATACTGGTTCTAATTCTTACTTACTACATGCTTGATGTTTGGAAATGTTATCAACTGCTTTGTAATCTGTAAAATGGGAATAAGTTTAGTACCAAAATCATGCCATACCTGGCACATAATAAGCCACTCAATAGTTGCTGTCAGGTTTTAAAATATGACTAAAAATTATAATATAAATTCCAATGGAAACATCATACCAAGATTCTCATCCAGTGCAGGAAATTAACTTACTCTGTGCAAATTTTGGAGGATTGTCATTAACATCAGTAAGAGTCACTGTAAGTGTCGTGGTCCCAGACAGGCCACCAGAGTGTCCACCCATATCTTTGGCTTGGATAACAACCAGGTACTCCTCCTTGGCTTCTCTGTCCATGTTGGGAAGGGCAGTTTTTATAATAGCTGAGGGGGAAAATGGAAGAATGGCTTTCAGTCAGAGAGCTAAATAAACAACGAAAGTATTAATCTCACACACGCACATACAGAAACACACAAGCATACACCAAGTCCCTACTCAGATAATTTTCTGAGTTCTTCTGACATTTGATTTGTGTGTGCCTGTTATATCAACGAGAAAGATTGTGGTCATAGACATTTACAGATAATTTGCAAAAATGTGTTTTATAATGTATAAAAAAGAACTTGCAAAAATATGTATTAGAAAATAAACTGAATGACATCCCTTGTCTACCAAACTATAAAGTACATCAGAACACAGTCTTGTCCACCCCAGAAAACCCTGGAAGTGAAAGAATCCTCCAATTTATCACAGATCCCAATTCCCCTAAAAGAGGAGTAAACACACAAATAGCTTGAAGGCTATGAGGTCAAAGATAAATTATTCTGAAGTTCACAAACACATTAGAGAGATGAAATAAATAAATGCATCATTAGAATCAACTCAGATGAATAAAATAACAATCAGAATTAAAATAGTCAAGTGTCTTAAGTTCTAATCTACTGTTCAACTATATTTATATTTTAATTGTTTAGATACATCTTCTCTTTGTAAAAGTGTAGCAAATAGTTTAGAAAAATAGGAAGATATAGGAAAAGGTGAATACAATATAAAATTACATAAAATACAATAAAATAATCACTGCTCAAATCTTAATATTTTTTCTTCTGATACATATTCAGGGTTTCATGTGGGCTTGTCTGTTTGTTTCACTGGTAATTTAATACCCTTGTTAAAGATCCAAAATTTGCTTCAGATCCTCCTGAAGTTATTTTGAAAATCAAAAATCCTTATTTAGCTCTCTCTCTCTACCTCCACATAGTTTTTTCATAGATAATGCTGACATTTTGAGGTGCAAAATTACAAGGCCATGATATGTACACACACAGAAATGTGTGTATAAACATTTAACCACAGACATGATCTTAATATAGGCAGCATTCTGAGACTTTCTTTTTTCACAGGAGATGTTTTTTAAAAACTTCCTCATCACTGGGTAGAAGTTCACCTCATTACTTCCTACAGTTGCATAATTTTTCATTGTACAATATACTATACGTGGTTAAGGCATTCTCATATTGATAAATGTTGTAGGTATTTCATATTTTCCCATGTCACACAACTGAGAGATATATTCGTATGATAATATTGTATTTTTTAATTTCCTGCATTTTTACTTAACTCTATGTCATAAGATGCCCCTTACCCATATTGCTAAATGTCCATAATAAAACTTGTTTTGACTAGTCCAGAATATTTCTATTGAATTGATGTGTGTTACATTTCTGGTCAAGGTAAAAGGAAGACGTCCAGATTAAAGATAATTTAACCCCTTCACTTCTACCCCAGGGGCACCATACATGTTCAATTCAAATTAAAGCTGAGTCATTGCCTTGGCCACTTCCGAAGTTGTAATTCTTTTTTTTAAAATTCATATGGTTTTTTAAAATCATCTGTCTGTAAAAGCATTGCAAGGAGTTCAAGTCCCTGAATCATTTGAGTAGCAAATGAGTCCCAAGAGTGACCACAGAAATACAATGCACCTACACAGGGAGCAGGCTCTGGGGAGAACTGCAAGTTCTTATATACTTTATTAGACTCTGACACAATTTAATAATAGGGCTTCCCATTCAGGGAGCACTGAATTAGATAACCTTGCTTATTTGCAAACATTTGTAATACTATGATGATATTTTTCAATGCAATGCTTTGTTTCAGGATTTGATCACATCATAATGTAACTCATAGATCATACCTATATAGTTAAAAATAAAAACAGAAAGAAAAGTAGAAATATGTCAACCATTCAGATTTAGATCACTGTGAGGCATTTTTGAGAAGAAAACAAACAGATAAGCAAAACACAGCAACAAAGATAACAAACCTTATTATATTAGCATGTTGAGATACCAACATAGCTACTCTGCTATGAATATACATTTTTATAACCTAGAATATTTTCATTAGGGCTCAGATTTTCAGTAAAGAAGATAAGAACATTGTTTTCCTCCCGTGACATTTACATGAATGCTTGTACCACCACATTCTAAGGTCATCACTGATTATGTCACCCATTGGACTTTGGAATTTGACATGGAGCTTCTAACAATCAGAGCAAAATAATGCCATTCTCCAAGGAAGGCAGCAATATTTTTCAAGAAAGTTGATGAGGTGAGGTCTATGCATGAGACTTTTCAGGTTACCTGCGTGAAAGAACTCCTACAACTTCTCCAAGTCAAAAAAAGATTGGTATGTATTATTCTCATCATTTCTTTTATATGTTGTGAAAGTGAAAATGTAAAATAAAACAAAACTGTGATGTCTCTCAGGCATTTGGAATTAAAATAGTTTTTTTACTCACTTGGAAATAACACCTTTGGGTTAGTGTCGACGAGTTAGATCAGAATATGAGTGAAGCATCGCAGTGGAGAATCTTGTTTATCAAATAGGACAAGAAATGCTGCATGGGACTTCATCAATTGCAAAAGTCTTTTTACCCTCCCGCATTGAGGTAAGCAGCTTCATGCTACCTAAGATGCATATACAGTTGACTCTTGAACAACACGGGGGGTTAGGGGCACTGACTCCACATGCAGTTGAAAATCCGTATGTCACTTTTGACTCCCCCAAAACTGAACTGCTAATAAGCTACTATTGACCACAAACCTTTCTGATAACACAGTCAATTAACATATAAATAGAATATTGAAGAGGCTTGTGAACCGGAACAACTCCGTCTTGAATAGGGGCTAGGTAAAATAAAGCTGAGACCTTCTGAGCTGCATTCCCAGACAGTTAAGGCATTCTAATTTACAGGATGAGATAGGAAGCCAGAACAAGATACAGATCAAAAGACCTTGCTGATAAAACAGGTTAGAGTAAAGAAACTGGCCCAAACCCACCAAAACCAAGATAGCGACAAGATGACCTCTGGTCGTCCTTACTGCTACACTCCCACCAGCACCCTAACAGTTTACAAACGCCACATCAATTTCAGGAAGTTACTCTATATGGTCTAAAAAAGGGGGAAGCATGAATAATCCAACCATTGCTCAGCATATCATCAAGAAATAAACATAAACATGGGCAACTAACAACCCCAGGACTGCTCTGTCTATGGAATAGCCATTCTTTTATTCCTTTACTTTCTTAATAAACTTGCTTTCACTATTCTACAGACTTGCCCTTATTTCTTTCTTGCACGACATCCAAGAACCCTCTTTCCGGTAATAATAGTATCTACACACATTTTATGCATTCATGATATTCATTTTTCTTAATGTTTTTAACATTCTAGGCTACCTAGTTCATCTGTCAATTTTTCCAAATTGTTGAAAATCTCAGAAAAATTTACAAAGTATTTACTGAAAAAAATGTACATGTAAGTAGAACCTCACAGTTTAAACCTGTGTTGTTCAAGGGTCAACCAAGTATTTTCAAGTTTGATTCCTCTTATCAATGTTTCCCTCCTAATTGAAATCAAGCAGGTTTGCATTTTTTATCTTAGTCTTAAGCTTACCAACTTTGTGACCATGAATAAATTATTAAACTCATCAAAACTCCATATCCTCTCAAACAGAGATAATAATCAGCTTCTCATTGTGGATATTCCAAGATGATGTGAGATAATTCAGGCCAAGTTCTTGGTACACAGTAGTTACCCAAACATACTGTTTCCCTTCCCCAGGCAGACTTTTTCATGTTTATGTGGATGATGGTAAGAGTACAGAATATTCTACAATTGCTCCTACAAGTCCACTGCCCAGCCCTATCCACCCAGTGTTGGCATGGAAGGGTAGCCTTAATAGATTGCCTCAATTAATTCCCTTACTCTCTGGCTTTTTGCTAGACTCCACCAACACACATTAACCTGGGAGGTTGTGCAAATGACTCCCCCAAAGACTCCTACAAAGTCTTTATTCCTGTATTTGGCCATTCAGGTTATTATTTAGAGATATCGTTAAAGTAAAATTCTATCTAGTGTCCAATAACTGCCACCTTCCTTTGCTCCTTAAGACCTAGGAGTCTTGATGGTACTTCTATTGCTAGCATCTGGTGCTGAATTCTTCCATGAAGGTCTCTCTTAACCAGGCCATACCTTTGTCAACAGTCCCTTTGTTAAATTCTCCTCAACTGCCTCTTTCCTGACAAGATCCTAAAATATGTGGCTACAAAACTGGGACTCTGTCCAAGTACCAAACATTTTGCCCACATGTTACTCTTACACAGACATCTATAGTTCAAAAGTACTTCAATGTAATAATGTACTAAGGTCCAAGTCCACTCCTTAAGAAGGCAGGGCAGATTGTTTTCTTACCTGTAAAATGAGAGCAATACCTATTCATTTAAGTGAGTTGCTCAAGATGGCCCCACTGGGAGGCTGCACCTCTGAGAGTCTTTGCATCTCCTCTTTTCTTCTACAACATTGGGAGTAGGTTTTCTGATTTCTAAGGCGAGTAGGGAGTCTCTCCAAGGTTTCTTTAGAACATGCAGCACAGTTAATTGGCTTCAGTTCAAACTGAATAATGAACAGCTCTTGCTTTCCTGAGTCCACTGCCTCTAGTCTCAACCCCACGACTTGCAGAAACTCATTAAAAAATCCAAGACAGAATTTTTGGAACCCTTTTTATGCTATTTTGTAGCTGTAAAGGCAGAATAGGGGAAACCACAATTGCCCTGGATCCTCTTATTTTTCTCTTTGTGTTGGGCTTATCCACACATATTACTTAACTTTACTATTCCTATTCACAATGTATTTCACTTCCATAGATACTTCAAGATATTGACAAGCTTCTAAAATAGAAGATGAAAATAGCCTTACTATTCCCTTCTACTTCTTTTCTCCTGCTTTGGCTAACATATCTCCCAAGCACTAGCAGCTTCAGGCTGTTTCTTTTAAGGAAAGAAATGTGTTTGACGAGAAACTCTGTGTCCAATAAAACAA